GGGAGAAGCTGGTTGGATGCATTTTTACTACGTCACAAAAGTGTACTTTCTATTCGAAGACCAACAGGAACTTCCTTCGCTAGAGCATTAGGCTTCAATAAGGAAAATGTGGAGCAATTTTTTGACAATTTGCAGAGTGAATACTCAAAAAATAACTTTTCGCCTCACCAAATTTACAATGTAGATGAGACTGGGCTTTCAGTTGTTCAAAGTAAGGTGGCATCAGTGGTGGGAAGAAAAGGAAAACGGCAAATTGCTTCAATTACCTCAGCCGAACGGGGTTCACTAGTTACGTTTATAGCTGCAATGAGCGCTGGAGGTCAATTTGTACCGCCCATGTTAATTTTCCCGAGAAAAAATCGCAACGAACAGCTGATGCGAGGGGCTCCTCCAGGTTCAATCTATGCAGTACATCCAAGTGGGTGGGTGCAACAGAATTTGTTTTCCGATTGGATGAGGCATTTCATAAAATTTGTTAAACCAACAAAAGAATGTCCAGTTCTGCTAGTGTTAGATGGCCATTATAGCCACACACGAAACTTAGAAGTAATTCGACTAGCTCGTGAAAATCATATTTCCATTATCTCTTTGCCGCCTCACTCAACTCATAAATTACAACCCCTTGATAAAACATTCATGGGAAGTTTCAAGGCTTATTACAGTGAGGAAATTAGAAATTGGCTTCGTGTTAACCAACGAGCCCTCACACAGTTTGACTTGGCAGAACTTTTAGGTAAAGCCTTTTTAAAATCACAGTGTGCCGAAATAGCTGCTAGTGGTTTTAGGGCGACGGGAATATATCCGTTCAACCGTCACATTTTTTCTGAAGCAGATTTTATATCTGAACGAATTCAGGCTGAGAAAAACTGCAACATTTTTCCTCAAGCGCAGCCTGTCACAACAGAACCCCAGCATGGTACCCCAGAACCTCAGCCAGGATGTTCTCTTTGGGACGATACAGCTAAATTACAATCCCAGGCAACATCGTCGCCGTCAAATTCCAATTTCTCTAGACCATCTGTTCCAGGAAAGGAAAATTCCGTTAAATTGGTCTCACCATTTGACATTTCACCTGTACCTTCTGTCACAAAGAAAAATACCACTCGGGGAAGAAAATCAACTAAATCGCAAGTGATCACCTCTTCCCCCTACAAGGATGAGTTAGAGAAATCCTGCACCAACACGCCTAAGAAAGCAAGCACCAAACGACAAGTCTTTTTAAAATCAAAAGCAAAGAAGACAACTAACAAAAAAAGACAGCAAGCAAAAGACAATAAAGTCAACGACTCTGAGGATGAAAGTCACGAGTTTGTCCCAGACGATGAAGATATGGATATCGACGAAATTGGCAAATCTGTTCCTGATGACTGTGATACAGCATGCCTATTTTGTGATGGTTGCTTTTCCGATGACCAGAGAGGAGAGCTATGGATTCAATGCTTCATGTGCAATCAATGGGCTCACGAACAATGTTCAGGTGCCGAAAAAGATGCATATATTTGTGACTTTTGCGTGTAATATTTAGTTTTTAAGTTGAAATGTATTTTCATTTTCATTTTCAGTTTTTTTTATTTGAAAAATATATGTTTTTTCAAATTGTTAGATACCTGTCAATTATTTTACTAGGGGGCCCATATTCCACGCAGTCTAATCCAAAAGTAGATCTGTACATAATTTAAGTGTTGACACAAATTCGACCTAAATTTAATTTTTTTGATAATGCCTTTTTAATATACCATAAGGTAAACCTTTGAGCGTGCAGTGTGTAATTTACTGGATATTTATTCGTAAGTTTCCAAAATTTATAAAAAAAAAACAAATGGGGGGCTCATATTCGGACCACTTCCTCTACACACCGGAGTCAAATCGCCAGTCGGCCGAGTGGACGGCTGCATCCGAACCACCTCCGAAACGTGGAAAGACGCAACAGTCAGCAGGCAAGGTTATGGCCTCTGTTTTCTGGGACGTGCAAGGAATTATTTTCATCGACTATCTTCAAAAGGGCCAAACTATCAACAGCGACTATTATATAGTGTTACTGGAGCGTTTGAAGGCCGAAATCGCCAAGAAACGGCCACAAATGAAGAAAAAAAAAATCTTGTTTCACCAGGACAATGCGCCGTGCCACAAGTCCATGAAAACGATGTCGAAATTGCATGAATTGGGCTTCGATTTGCTCCCCCATCCACCGTATTCTCCGGACCTTGCTCCAAGCGACTATTTCCTCTTCTCAGACCTTAAGAGAATGCTCACCGGAAAAAAATTTCACAGCAACGAAGAAATCATCGCCGAAACTGAAGCCTATTTTGAGGACAAGCCGAAGGATTACTACCGGAAGGGTATCGAAAAACTTGAAGAACGTTATAATCGCTGTATAGCCCTTGAAGGCAACTATGTTGAATAATAAAAGCGAATTTTGACGAAAAAAATATTTTTTCATTGAAACGATACGGAATTTTCAGCCCACCTGTTATTCATAGTTCAGTGAAATTATAAGTACGTTGATTATGAATATTCGATATTTGTGTTTTTATATCAGAAGCATGTGGAGAAATTTTTGATGACCACCATCTTGTTTTACGCTTTTTTTTTGCTATGTCATGATTTTATTTTATGAAAGGCATTTCCAATTTTCGGTTTGATTTTATCAAACTATGTAATTCTAACCTAGAAAATCGTTGGTTCTCTTTTGAGGCAGACTGAGATTGGAAATGCCTTGGCCATTAGGGCACGTTGCTAATGCACACGGTTCTTTTTCAGATTGGGGCCACCCCCCTTTCTCTTTCTCTTTCCCTTTGCCTTAGTCTTTGACTTTGCGTTGCTTGGCCTATCACTTCACCCATGCATGTGCCTTGGCAGCGCCATCGCCTTTAAGTTCAACTCCGCCTACAACTGGTTATGGAGCCACTATATGTGAGGTCACCTCTCATAACTGGGACCTCCACTTCAAGCACCTGGCCATCCTGGCTTCAGTCGAGTCAAAATGGACCAACGAAAGATAAGTTGATAGTTTTATAGCAGCGCCAAAAATGTAAAACTTATTTTGTTCTTTAAAAATGTAAAATTGTAATGTAATGAAAATGCTTTTTTTGTTAAATAAAATCTGTTAAATTTTTGTGTTCTGTTTGTTCTTCTAACCTCTAGCCATGCCATGGTCGACACACAGCTACACGCCTGTAGATGTCTTCATGCCACCGACTGAGCTACCGGAAGCTAGTGGTAACCCCCTTTCTGTGATTTTGCAGAAAAGTTGGAATCTTCATTGCATTCCATCTTTTCTGGACTTTTTGCGGAAAGGAAGCGTTACAGTATACTTTTACTTGCCTACCATCAGAACCCAAATGTTATCGAGAGTTTCAAGGAAATTAAAATCTAGACCGCAAGTCTCATAAGTGGTGGCACAGAATATTTTTTCATTTTTTAGACGACTCTGTAGTGAATGCTTTTCTTTATTCAACATGAGGAGCGAGTCGAAAAGTATTACTTTGAAATATTTCCGTTTGTCGGTGATTTCAGGACTCATTGGAGCTGGAGAGTCGGTTGTATTTGTGACCTAGCACTACACGTTGCGTGTTGTATTTGAAAATACTATTAATAAACACATTACGAATAAAGTGGGGTCCAGCATGGTACCCCTAACCCAATCGTCCAAATACAATACACATTTTGCACATTACAAGTAAGACCCACCCATCATAGCATTCAAAGTTCTTTTTCATTGCCCACTTTTCTGCCACGATAGGCACCTCTGGTGGTGATGTTCGAAAATTTAGCCATTATACAGGGTGGTCCATAAGTCCTTTGAAATTTCAAATTTGAATAAAATTTAACGGGTGAGCGTGAGCGGCGCGGGCGAGGTGGGGGCAGTATCTTCAGTGTCTGGGAATTCAGTCGCCATGGAGTGTTTCACTGGAGCGGATCGTGCTTTTTGTGTGCGAGCGTTTTATCAAAATAATGATGCGGCAACCATTGCGCGGCGTAAATATCGAGAATACCACAATTTACACAATTTTACAAAGTGTCCAACAGCTCAAACGATTAAGAACTGGGTTGCTAAGTTCGAAGAGACTGGTTCGACGTTAGATAAACAGCGGTGGGGTCGACCAAGGACAACTCGTATTGAAGAAAACATCAACATTGTGGCACAGTCTGTTCGTCAAAATCCTACCCAGTCTACTCGTAAGCGTTCCAGTGCACTAAACGTACCCAGAACATCTTTACAGCGGATTTTAAGGAAAGATTTACGTCTGCACGCTTATGGCGGATTTCCACCAAACAGACAAAACAGCAACAAAACAGAAACTCGTGTTTATCTCAACAAAACTGCAACTTTTCACCAACATTTTGTAGACAGGAGTCGCCGGCAACTGTTTTTGTTGAGTTTTTGTTGTGTTTTCGAAGTCCCGGTCGAAGGCGGTAACTTCAAAGGGTTTTCGCGCAACTAGCAACACAGTTGGTTTAGTGGAAACAGCTTGCGACGCGTCTCTGTTTTGTTGTAGTCTGTTGTAGTGTGTTGCAGTGTGCGCAGTTTGAATTTATTTGTGCTATTGAATACCTAGCAGTTAATTGCAGGATATGACTGAAGAAAAGAAAAAGTGGACCACAGAAGAAGTGGGAAATTTAATAGAAACTTATCGCGATTGTCCAAATTTATGGAACCCCACAAACCTGGAGTATAAAAATCGAGTGAAAAAAATGGACACTTACAAACAAATAGCTCATGTATTTAAAACAACTCCACATGAAATAGAGAGGAAAATAAAAAACTTAATTACCCAGTACCAACGGGAAAGGCGCAGTTACAAAAAAATGAAAAAATCAGGAGCCGGTCATGTTTTCAAGGCAAAATGGTTTGGTTATAGTGCCATGAGCTTCCTTCACGACAAAAACAAACCTAGGAAAGGAACACAGATTGGCGTAGAATTGGAGGTGAGTAGGTATTTTGTTTTTTTTGTGTTTATTTAAAACTCTAGCATTTTAAGAAAATTTACAACAAATAATTAAGCATACTGTGATTGCCATGGTACTTGTCCTAAGTCCGATATGAAATATTCGCTGAATTCGTCTCTAATTTCTCGGGCTTCTTGAATTGGTTTCCTTGCTATTCGTCTTATAGGCAAAAGTGAGTGACATGGTTCCGGATCATTTCTCCACAATCCTCCACTTACAGTACCAGAATCTAAGTGTTCGAAATCAAAGGAGCCTGGCGGTGTATATCTATCTTTCGATTCCACATCTCTACGTAAATAATTGTGCAGCAAAACACATGTTTGAACAACTTTCTCCACTTTGTCCGGCTCTAGTAACATAGGCTTGCGAAGGACCCGAAAAACAGATGCTAGTATTCCGAATACGTTCTCGACGACTCTTCGAGCTCTACTTAGACGGTAATTAAAAATTCGTTGTCTTGACCCACGTTCTTGGTGCCCAGCATACGGCTTCATTATATTTTGTGACAAGGGGAATGCATCGTCTGCTAGTAAGACGTATGGTACCAGTTTTTCTCTTCCAGAAAGTGCCGCCTTTTGTGGCAGATTGAGCATATCTCTTTCCAATGCTTTGGCAAATCCAGTATTTTTGAAAACTCCTCCGTCTGATATTCGGCCCTGGCACCCAACGTAAACAAAAATAAAATTGTAACTGGCATCGACTATGGCAAACAATACAATACTAAAAGTCCCTTTATAATTGAAGAATTCACTTCCACTGTATTTTGGGGATTCTATGATTACATGTTTTCCATCCATACTGCCTATACACATCGGGAAGTTCCACATTGTATTATATCCATTTGCAACTTTTTTCCAATCCTCTGGATTTGCGGGAACCTTAAAACAAAAAAATTCAGGACCATGATCAAATGTAAGAAGGAAGAATCCCGAAAGGACACGATATCTGATTTCTTGATATTGGATTTCAAACAACTGATATTATTCCTAAAATAATCTTCATTTTAAACTATACAACCCACATTTTATGAAATTCAGCCAATTCAATGCGCACTCTATAATTACAGGGAAGTGATTCGTCAGATGAAGGTGATGAAGAAACCCAGTCTGATATGCAAAGCACAACCGAAGCAACGAATGAGTATGAAAGTGAAAGCGAAGTTTCAGAATGTCAGTTAACTGAGGAAATAGGCACACCTGCAGCAAATACAAGGGAAGAGCCTAAAATCGCTGCTGCAGCGTCAGTTAACAAAAATGTTTCAGTTGAGAATACAGAAAGTGCAGAATATTTTCAGAAACAAGCTTCCCAGAAACCACATGTTTTTAGTACTCCAAAAATTGGCTCAAGAAAGAAAAAACGTGTTGAGTCTGATGACAAAAATGAGACTACGGAGGTCTTTCAGATGATGAAGTCAGTATTTGAGAACAGGCAAGTAACTACATCAAGGCGCGACGAATACGACGTGTTTGGGGAAATGGTGGCCTGCAATATCAGACATCTGCAAACTGAACATGCTAGAGTTACTGTGCAACACAAAATAAATAACCTACTATATGAGGCTCGAATCGGTTATTACAATTATCCAGAAACCATGCGAGTCGTCGTGCCATCACCTTCACCTAACAGCAGTCACACTGTATCATCTGACACCCAGTCGGCAATGACGGAGACGGAAGTACAACAAACTTGGAGTGATGACGTTTTACAAGTTGCCATTGCATCATCCTTTGGGCTGAATACAAATCATGACGATAATACAAATCAGGACATGTTTCCAAAGAATTAACCTTAAGTTACTGTACGTACTATTTGTCAAAATATATTTTCGTTGCAGTATCCTATATACAGTGTGGCCTTACCTTTATATTATCCTTTAGACCTTCGCATAGGGCACTGCAAACTTCGGGCACAATTCGTGAAATTGATGATGCAGATGCTTTACATAAATACATCAAACTTTGATAGCTGTCCCCCGTAGCAAGGAATCTTAGTGTTATAGCTAAACGGTCTTTTACGGATATAGCGTCTCTGTAATTTGTGTTTTGTTTGCGAATCTTTGCGCCGATCAGAGTTATCAGGTTTTCAAAATCAGTGCTGGACATTCTCACAAAATTATGAAACGATGATCGCAACTCGCCATGCAATCCAAAATCATCCGTTTTCAACTGAGTAAGCATTTCTGCCGCGCCATTATTTTCTCTTGTAGTCAACAGCGATCTCACCCAGTACCTGTGCTGTCGACGCTTTTTCCTTTTCTTTGCTTTAGAATGCAATATAAACCATCCACATAACATGATGAAAAGATCATCTTCATGCCACATGATCAACACAAAACACTGTCTGCCTAGTGGAAAGGAGTGACAACTTACACACAACTAGGACTGTAGTCGAGTCTGTTCAGTTGCAACAGCGTTTCTGATTTGGTTCTGTTTTGTTGCTGTTTTGTGTTGTCTGTCGGAGTTTTCATATTCGGAAACAAAACAGCAACTCGACGAGTCGGTTTGGTGGAAATCCGCCATTACAAAATTCAGTTAGTGCAGGAATTAAAAGATAATGACGCTATTCAGAGACTAAACTTTGCGAATGAAATGTTGAATCGATTTTCTTCGCTCAATAATGTGTTGTTCTCGGACGAGGCTCACTTCCATTTAAACGGGCATGTAAATAAATAAAATTGCCGTTATTGGAGCCCCGAAAATCCAAGGCGTAAGCATCAGAAGCCCTTACACAGCCCTAAAGTTACAGTTTGGGCTGCTATGTCAGCGCATGGCATCGTAGGCCCTTATTTTTTTGAGGACGACAGAGGTCGCGCATTAATTGTTACTTCTACTATGTAGCAATGATAGAAGAGTTTTTGACACCAGCGTTGCAGAATTTTCCAGGCTATAATACGCAGACCTGGTTTCAACAGGACGGAGCAACTGCCCACACCTCCAACACTTCTATGCCCGTCGTCTGTCAACTTTTTCCCAGCAAAGTAATTTCTCGAAGAGGAGACATTTCCTGACCACCACGTAGTCCAGATCTGACCCCAATGGGCTTCTTTTTATGGGGCTACCTCAAGAGTAAAGTGTACGACACCACTCCGCGATCATCATCTAGGGTTCCTTGTTATGATTTATTTCAGCATGCGGAATGCCTGAAAAGTACGTTTCTTTATGATTAAGGTAATGGATTTTGTGTTTTCTGTAGCAACATACAGCAAGCGGCAGTCTTCTATATAAGCAAAGTATCACCCACAAATTGGAACGCTGTCTTAAGACATCTGTAAGACTTCGGCAGTTCATCTGCTATATCGTATATGCTATAAAAATATTGTAGCAAACCTCCTAGACCAGGCAAACAAGAAATTCCTTAAAAACGCCGGGAAAAACAGCACCGTGAATCTACTGTCACCAAATTAGATCGTAAAATTAGCCAACCAAATCAACAAAGTCACATCGAGCCTCCAAAATTCAGACCACCGGTACACCGGAACCAAAGAACTGTGAATTCTACTTCTTGACTCCATTTCCTAAGAAATATGTATCCTAAATGTAAACGAAAGCAATATCTTACTTTTATTATTTATTCAGTGATCAGAAACACAACGTCCAAAAAGGCATGATAGATAGTATCATTTCTAATCGAACCGTTCGACTTCTGGGTTATAGCCGTCGTGTTTTTTCCAATAGTTGCGTATCCCGATCGAAAACAAAATATACATGAATATCACACATTTTGATGTGCAAAGCAGCTATCGGTGAAAATAAACGAATGATTTTTTCAGGACTTTTGTTTCTCCAATCGAAACACATTTGCTCCTCGGGCACTAGAGTACCTACAAAGAGTTGTCAAAAAAACATCTGTCGCTAAAGATTACTATGCTGAAAAGCAGTTTGAGATCAGCGTTTCAGACCATAATTCTTGAGGCGTTGTTTCACTGAAGTGTGAAAATGAGATACAGTTTTATCAGTATTCGAAACCTCATGGATGTCTGATTCACAAGCTTAAGCTTCACTAACCACTTAATCCTTTGTATCGATTTCCAGGAATTGTTATTGGGACTGCGTGAAGTTAGAAGCCAAGTTATCGCATTTGATCGAGAACGGGGGTTACGATTGCTCGCTCCCCATTCCCACCAAACTATCAGTTCAGGGTACATTCGTGCTCGTTCAAATACAATACACTTAGCGTTTTGCACATTAGAAGTAAGTCCCACCGATCATAGCATTCAAAGTTCTTTTCCATTGCCCATTTTGCTCTTACGATGTTAGCACCTCTACTGCTTGCTGATGTTCAAAAATGATTCTACTAATATTCGGGATAATCCTTTGGAGTATATTTGCCGTTTCACTGAAGGTTAAGAGTAAGGTGTTTTCTCGTCCTTCGAGGCTAACTTGAATGTTTGTTTCACAAGCCTAAGCTTAACTAAACAGTTTCTCAAGGAATTTTTATTAGTACTGGTTTCTTTCTTTAGATACCCCTGTATCTTCGACGGTTTTTTGTTTTGATTTATTTCAACTTGCGGAATGTTTGGAAGGTATGTTTTTTCTTCATGATATATATCCTGGATTTTGTGTTTTATGTAGTAACATACCAAGTGGCAGAGTTCTATATAAGCAAAGTATCACCCTCAAATTGGAGTAGTTCCTCCGTTACATCGCATATGCTGTAAAAATATTGGAAACCAGACACACAAGAAATTCCTTAAAACCACCGGGAAAAACATCACCGTCCAAATAGCCAACCACATCGAGTCTCCAAAATTCAGATAACCAGGTATACCGGAACCAAAGAACTGTGGATTCTACTTCTTAACTCCATTTCCTGAAAAAATATGTATCCTAAATGTAAATGTAAGCAACATCCTACTTTTATTGTTTATTCAAATATCGTAAACACAACGTCAAAAGGAAAAGGCATGACAGGGGGTGTAATTTTTAATCGAAATGTACTATTTTTGAGTTTAAAAGTTATACCCGATCGAAAACAAGGTATACACAAGAGAGTCCTGCCTCTTCATTAGTCATATTTAGATGTGCAAAGCAGATACCACTAAATATGTATTTACATGGAAGTAACTGCAATATGACGAATGGATAGTTGGTTTACTTCTGTCAGTATACCTGTCCAGTTATTGAAACCACCATATAACCTAACAATTATTGGAACGGTGAGACAAAATAAACGGGAAATTCCCAATGAAATGCTCAACCTAAAAAACAGAGAAGTAGGAAGATGTTTATTGTGCTTTGACCAGCAAAAAACTCCAAACTAAAAATTTAAAGTGTTTTAGTTTTATCTACGATGCATGAACGATACACAATTTGCGAAGAAAAAATGCAGAATGACGTCAATATATTGCATCCACTTTCTTGAAACTCCAAATAAGCATATGTAATACATATTTGTAATAATTTCTTTTAGATCGACTTCGTTTTCTTGCTCTTTGTAAGAGTCGTAAAAAATATGAATGACTAGTATTTACGCTACTCCAATTGTAATGTGACTGGCCATATGATTCTGACCATAATTCTCCAGGCGTTGTTTCACTAAGTGTGAAAATGAGACACAGCTTTCTCATTCTTCGAAACCTCCTGAACGTCTCTTTCACAAGCTTAAACTTTACTGATCACTTTATACTTAGTTTCCATTTCCAGGAACTGTTATTGGGACTGTCTGAAATTGGAATCTTACTGAAGTATGAAGCCAAGGTATCGCATTTGATCGAGAACACAATAAAACCAGAAAGTGAGACTGACATCAAACCAACAGTCAATTTATTAGGCTGGGCTCCGTCACAACAGTTATCAACGGAGCAACGTGGAGTACTAGAGCAAGCTGGATTGGTAGGAGAAGAATTACCAATTAGAAATGGACGATTCCAGTTTTGCCAAGCCCTGATGGATAAATTATCAACATTTGTCCGCGAGGCTATTATATCAATGAAGATGGGTGCAGAATTGCACGACTCAAGATTTGGATCAGCAGGACAACAAGTATTCCTGAAACGTGATCCACTTGAGGAAGAAGAGTTCTCCAGAATGAGCTACTATGCCGATGGAGTTGCGCAGAACGCAGGAAATAGCGCACTCGATGGTAGAGTTGATCTCATATCGATGGTGATGTCGTTCCGTGTGAAGAAAGAACCAGTATGCGGTAAACACTCGTACGCTTGTTACGATTTTAATCAATATGCTAATGTACCAGGAGATTGGATAGCAAGCCGTAACATGATTTTTGAACGAGGGACAGTAGCCAGACTAAACTCGGAGGAGTTTAGAGGAGCAGCACAGATGATTGCTCGCTCCCCATTCCCACCAAACTATCAGTTCAGGGTACATTCGTGCTCGTTCAAATACAATACACTTAGCGTTTTGCACATTAGAAGTAAGTCCCACCGATCATAGCATTCAAAGTTCTCTTCCACTGCCCAGTTTGCTCTTACGATGTTAGCACCTCTACTGCTTGCTGATGTTCAAAAATGATTCTACTAATATTCGGGATAATCCTTTGGAGTATATTTGCCGTTCCACTGAAGGTTAAGAGTAAGGTGTTTTCTCGTCCTTCGAGGCTAACTTGAATGTTTGTTTCACAAGAATAAGCTTAACTAACCAGTTTCTCAAGGAATTTTTATTAGTACTGGTTTCGTTTTTTAGATACCCCTGTATCTTCGACGGTTTTTTGTTTTGATTTATTTCAACTTGCGGAATGTTTGGAAGGTATGTTTTTTCTTCATGATATTTATCCAGGATTTTGTGTTTTATGTAGTATCATACCAAGTGGCAGAGTTCTATATAAGCAAAGTATCACCCTCAAATTGGAGTAGTTCCTCTGTTACATCGCATATGCTGTAAAAATATTGGAGACCAGACACACAAGAAATTCCTTAAAACCACCGGGGAAAAACATCACCGTCCAAATAGCCAACCACATCAACGATGTCACATCGAGTCTCCAAAATTCAGATAACCAGTATACCGGAACCAAAGAACTGCGGATTCTACTTCTTAACTCCATTTCCTGAAAAAATATGTATCCTAAATGTAAATGAAAGCAACATCTTACTTTTATTGTTTATTCAAATATCGTAAACACAACGTCAAAAGGAAAAGGCATGACAGGGGGTGTAATTTTTAATCGAAATGTACTAATTTTGAGTTTAAAAGTTATACCCGATCGAAAACAAGGTATACACAAGAGAGTCCTGCCTCTTCATTAGTCATATTTAGATGTGCAAAGCAGATACCACTAAATATGTATTTACATGGAAGTAACTGCAATATGACGATGGGATAGTTGGTTTACTTCTGTCAGTATACCTGTCCAGTTATTGAAACCACCATATAACCTAACAATTATTGGAACGGTGAGACAAAATAAACGGGAAATTCCCAATGAAATGCTCAACCTAAAAAACAGAGAAGTAGGAAGATGTTTATTGTGCTTTGACCAGCAAAAAACTCAAAACTAAAAATTTTAAGTGTTTTAGTTTTATCTACGATGCATGAACGATACACAATTTGCGAAGAAAAAATGCAGAATGACGTCAATATATTGCATCCACTTTCTTGAAACTCCAAATAAGCATATGTAATACATATTTGTAATAATTTCTTTTAGATCGACTTCGTTTTCTTGCTCTTTGTAAGAGTCGTAAAAAATATGAATGACTAGTATTTACGCTACTCCAATTGTAATGTGAGCGGCCATATGATTCTGACCATAATTCTCCAGGCGTTGTTTCACTAAGTGTGAAAATGAGACACAGCTTTCTCATTCTTCGAAACCTCCTGAACGTCTCTTTCACAAGCTTAAACTTTACTGATCACTTTATACTTAGTTTCCATTTCCAGGAACTGTTATTGGGACTGTCTGAAATTGCAATCTTACTGAAGTATGAAGCCAAGGTATCGCATTTGATCGAGAACGGGGGTTACGATTGCTCGCTCCCCATTCCCACCAAACTATGAGTTCAGGGTACATTCGTGCTCGTTCAAATACAATACACTTAGCGTTTTGCACATTAGAAGTAAGTCCCACCGATCATAGCATTCAAAGTTCTCTTCCACTGCCCAGTTTGCTCTTACGATGTTAGCACCTCTACTGCTTGCTGATGTTCAAAAATGATTCTACTAATATTCGGGATAATCCTTTGGAGTATATTTGCCGTTCCACTGAAGGTTAAGAGTAAGGTGTTTTCTCGTCCTTCGAGGCTAACTTGAATGTTTGTTTCACAAGCCTAAGCTTAACTAACCAGTTTCTCAAGGAATTTTTATTAGTACTGGTTTCGTTTTTTAGATACCCCTGTATCTTCGACGGTTTTTTGTTTTGATTTATTTCAACTTGCGGAATGTTTGGAAGGTATGTTTTTTCTTCATGATATTTATCCAGGATTTTGTGTTTTATGTAGTATCATACCAAGTGGCAGAGTTCTATATAAGCAAAGTATCACCCTCAAATTGGAGTAGTTCCTGTTACATCGCATATGCTGTAAAAATATTGGAGACCAGACACACAAGAAATTCCTTAAAACCACCGGGGAAAAACATCACCGTCCAAATAGCCAACCACATCAACGATGTCACATCGAGTCTCCAAAATTCAGATAACCAGTATACCGGAACCAAAGAACTGCGGATTCTACTTCTTAACTCCATTTCCTGAAAAAATATGTATCCTAAATGTAAATGAAAGCAACATTTTACTTTTATTGTTTATTCAAATATCGTAAACACAACGTTAAAAGGAAAAGGCATGACAGGGGGTGTAATTTTTAATCGAAATGTACTATTTTTGAGTTTAAAAGTTATACCCGATCGAAAACAAGGTATACCC